AGTTTCATGCCATGTGGTCAGAAAATATACTTGATATAATTTCAGTCTTTTTGAATTTATTGAGGCCTGTTTTGTGGCCTCGTATGTGATCTATTCTGGAAAATATTCTATGTGCACTTGAGAAAAATGTGTAATCTGTAGTTTTTGGATGAAATGCTCTGTATCTATCAAATTAAATTGATCTAATGTGGAATTTAAGGCTAAATTTTCTGTCTGGATGATAGATCCATTGAAGTAAGTGGAGTATTAAAGTCCTCCAACTATTAGAGTATGATTGTTAATTTCTGCATGCATGTCCATTAACATTTGCTTAATATACTTGGATGCTCCTATGTTGTATGTGTTTACAATTTTTATATCCTCTTTATAGATCGACCCCTTTAAAATTTTATGATGTCCTTCTTTGTCTTTTCTTACAATCTTTGTTTTGAAGTCTGTTTTGCTAATCCAGATTTCTTTTCATTTCTCTTTGCATGGAATATCTTTTTCCATCCCTTCACTTTGTCTTATGAGTCTTTCGATCTAAAGCAATTCTCTGGTAAGCAGCTTATAAATGGGTCATGTTTTTTTTTCCCATTCTTCCACCCTGTATCTTGATTAGAGCATTTAATCCACTTACATTTAGTGTAATTGATAGGTATGTACTTTTTGCCATTTTTATTGTTGTTGTTTTTTGTGTTGTTCTTCACTATTCCTTTCTTCTCAATGTATTTTTTATTTGTTGGGTTTTTTGGTGTTTTGATTGGATTTCTGTCTCTTCATTTATCTCCAATTCATTAGTGTTTTTCTCTGGAGTTTTTTCTTGTTCATTCATTCGGGGCTTATTCTTCTGCCTTTTTTTTTTTTTTCCGACTTTGTTTCTATGAGTGGACTAGAGTATCTCTCTCAGTCTTGAAAGAGTAGTCTCTGTGTATACTGTGTGTTGAATAGTTTTGACAGGCTGGTTGTAGTCAGGGCAGCTGTGCGTGGACCCTGGTGTGTCATCTGCCCTTAAGGAGTTGGTGGCTTCAGGTGGGGCAGCCTGGTGCCTGTGTGCTTCCTTGCCCTTCTAACCTGGGTGGGACTGCCTGATACAGAAGGGGCTGCTTAGTTGGCTCATAGGATGCCTTGTTGCTTTAACTGTCTGTGATTAGAGCAGGGTCTGCGCAGGTCTACTTTCCATGCTTGCTACTAAAAATGCCACCAGCTCTGCTCCCTCTCAGGCTGTGCAGCTCTTAGTTTAATCAGCTGCCCTTCACGAGTGTCGTGTTGCTTTAAATGTCCCCAGTCCGGAACAGGGTCTGGGTGGGGCCACCTCGTGGGCCTTTATCTCAGTGACCTACTAACTCCACCCTTTCTCTGGGTAGGGTGGCTTTGTGTGCTAGTTTTCCACACTCTCTGAGCGGGGCAGCCCTGCAGATGCACAGCAGCACCCCACTTACTCCGCATAGGGCAGCCCTGCGTGTGGGTACTGCAGTTTTGCTAACTCCACACCTTCCCCAGGAATATCAGCCCTATGTCAGCACCTAGGAGAACCCCACTACCTCCATACTTTTCTCTGGACATGGTAACCCTGCAGGCAGGTACTATATAGCTTTTTGCTATTTCTGCACCCTTTCCAGGCAGGGAGCCCCACATGCCCTCAGCCTAGTGGGTGTGCAAAGCAACACCCTGTTGTACCCATTGGATCCATCTCTGGTAGAGGGACCCCTTGTATGCACACTATGGTGCCTTCGTGTTTCTGCTGGATCTAGCTGGATCTGGGGATGCACTACAGTACCCTGCCAGTGGGCCATGGAACCTGCTTGGAGCTCCTGCCTGCTATCCACGTATCAGGCAAATATAAACAGTGGTGCTCACCAGTTCCTCTAGTCCTGAATTATTCCATCAGCTCCGGAGAGCTCTCGTGGTTCTCCGACCATTTCTATGTGGTGCTTTTTGTACAGAAGCTGTTCCGTTGGCTCAAAGTTGTCTCTTAGGAGGAGCTGCTCTAAATATAAGTATACATTTGGTGTGTTTTGGGGAGAGGGAGAGCTCAGCATCCACCTATGCCACCATCTTAAACCCACTCCTGTACTAGCCTCTGGTTCCTTAACAAGTTTTTGAGATTAATTAAAACTCGTCAAAAATAAACTTACTAGATTACTCAAGAATGTTCTCCAAACTTATCACTTTTCTAGGTCTTGTCTGAAGTTTGACATTGCACATTCTTGAATAAAAATTTAAAAAATGCCTAGATCCATTAAACTTAAGCTGATTGCACAATAGAAAGGAGGATTTGAGCGCTTGAATTCCAAGTCCCATATGTACCCTGTTATGCTGTAAGTTTGACAAAGAGCAGTTTGAGATTTCATTTTCTAAGAGGACACCTCGGGAAGACTGTCTCCCAATAATTTTCTCTCTCTGGGCAACAAAGCTTTTTGCTTTACCCACCCATCATGTCTTCTGTGCACATTAGAGAACCAGACTGTACTCTCTCTCCTCCTTTGGAAACTAACTTTGTCACCATCAGATAACGTTCCATTCATCAGCCCTTATTCAAGTGACTCTCAAGTTACTTCTTGATTCAAGAAGTTTCTCCCATTCTGCACAGGAAGACAATATATATAAACTGTGGAAAGTGCCATAGAAATTCAGCACTTTTTCTATTATAAAGATAGTACCTCTTGACAAACACACATGTTTAGTCATCACCAGAACTTAATTATCCCTATCCCTGAAGATGTCACTGTAAGTGTGGGTGATGGAAAATACACAATGTACAATACTTCTGTATATCTATCATCATTTTGCAAACACAGTTGAATGAATGTTTCTTCTCCAATGAGAAAATGGCACGATGAGTAAAAATGTGATATATTTGTTTTATTTTCCTATCTGCTTCAGTAAAAGATTCTGAGAACTGATTGACATATATCATTAGCTATCTCCTGCCTGTATACAGTAGTATATATATATTGTTTCTACTTTTTTACTGAACATGGTGATACTTTGTTCAAACCAAAGTACAAAGAGATACTATAAATGAAAAAAAAAAGTGGGTGTGGTCCTTTAATTCTCAGACAGTAACTGTATATGTACCACCACAGGGGGAAAGCACTGAGGAAGCATTTACATCCCACGGATTAAAAAGACAAGCAATTAGAGTACCATTAGAGTACCTCCAAAAATAGCAAATTTGGAACAATTAGCCATTACTGTGAAGAAAGTTCCTACTCTTTCGTATTTCTGCTACCACATTGCTATACTGAAATTTAAGCCCTATTCACAGTGCAAATACGAAAAATGATCGAAGTCAGGGTTTTATGACTATCTTTTGTAAGATATATTCTATTTTAATATACATGCTATAAAAGTACACTAAAAAGGTACTTTAGAGCTGTTAAAAATTTATTTTTATATATAGAATAATGTACATCCAGCTCAAAGTATATTTGAGGAAAGCTATTATTGTGGCCCTAAATATTTCTAGCTTAATATTTTGTTTATAATATTGATTTTATAACACATGTATTCAGTAATGCTCTCTTATAATTTTGTATTGCAGTGCCTCACCAATCACTTTAAAGAAAAATGCAGGCAGAACTGTGGATCTCCAAGGAGTTCTTGTTGTGCAAACCACCAAGTTTTCAATGTAAATTCCTATTATGCAATTTTCATTTTTAAAAAAATTCTGGTATGTTAAATTCCTTTGTGATCAACATTTGGAACTTTCATGAGGCAAATAAAGAGAGATGCTGAAAATTAACTTGTAGGTAGCCTGATTTTAAAAGTGATCATTACCTTTTGTAGTAACATTTCCAATGCCAATTCTAGGTTTTTATGAAATAGTTTGAAACAACGCTGACTGAACACATCCAGTGGTAATGAATTGACTGAATACATATCAAACCAAGATAACAGACTCTTGGTACTGAGTTTCACTGTATCTACCATAATCGTGTACTGCACATGATGAAGCCGCTAGTTTCAGATTACATCCCAGGAATATCTATCGTGGAACCCAGGCATATCTACAATCTTTTATTGTAGGTATATTAGTAGAACAGAAATATAAAATAATCGAAATCTGTTTCTGATTAAAACAAAAATATTTACTCTTTTCATTAGCAAAACATTCTTTAAAATATATGTATTTCTCCTCTCTGAACATTTAGCCAAGGAGCAACAGGCAATTTTCAAAGGTTTATTGCTGACTCTTCAATACAATAAACACGGTTTCAGAGAGCACACAGCTACAGTAGCTTATTTACGTTTACTGATAAGAAATTTATCCTCATCTAGTTACAGTGTCCAGTCCACTAGAGGAAAGGTTTGGCGTTTGTGTGCTTTTTGTTCTTGGTGAGAATCACTTCTGCTTGATTTTCATTCTTGGAAGAAAAATTTCATTAGCCGATGTCCTCAGGTATTATGACATGATGTAAAGACGAATGGAACAGAGATTAACCACTACCATGGAGTTAGTCTGGGATTGGGTCTCCAGGCAGATCTTCCTTCTTGCCAGGTGAGTGTCCACTGTTTTGCACAGGGAACCGGAAGGCACCCAGGACACAGGCATGCACAGCCTTATCGAGAGACGGGTCACTCTCGTTGGCAGACCCCCCTGTCTGCTTCAGCCACCACTCCTACTCACTACCCTATATTTTGACCTTTGTGCTTATGGCTACAGAACTTATAGAAACCAGTTCACTGGAAAACAATGACAAGCAGAGAACTTGACCAAGAGGTGGCTGTGCCACATGTCTTTATGCTGTTTCCTGAGCTATTGTTATCTGTGGAAATAATCTGTAGACAATGTATACATTATGTTCTTCGTAGCAGAATTTCCTTTGTTTCTCTTGAAAAGGTTTGTGAGGTTTGTTTTTACAAACAACTTTATCAGAAGTACAGTCTGATTGTCTGCCCTTTCTAGCAAGCCAGTGATGGTGGAAATTTCAGCCTCCTTCTCTTGAATTTCAGACCTACCTAAAAGTGGAATGTTTTTCCCTGACAAATGATTACTTACCTTTTTTTTTTTTTGGATCCAATTCAGCCTTTCAGAAAATACTTCAGACCAAGAGTAGGAAGTGCAGGAGAACTAACTTCCTATTGTGCCTTACATAAAACATTTTGCTAAAATTGAGAGCAGCTCCAAGTGCAAAAGTAAATATTTGTGCAAAGGGCACACTGGCAGATGTAATCTTAAGACATCCTCAATTTATCCATTTTATAGTGTTTGACTCTTTAAAATGCAAGTCTTTTAAATTATGAAAATGGCAGGTAAAGGGAAGGAAGTTAACGTCAGAAAATACACTTTAGAAAAAGTACAGGATATTTTGATGACAATTTGCTACTTATTTCATAACTTAGATCAAGTAAGTGTTAAATATTCACAGTAATTTCAGAGAAGAAACATTCATGTCTATAAGTCTTCAATCTATTGCATTTTCAATCATTTTTCCGTACATTTACAAAATTTGATCTGTCAGTGCTTTCCTGTAGAATTCCTTATTGTCAGTTCAGTCCTTCCCTCTCTGGATCCAGTTATACCTTCAAGGTGGGCTGTAGGATTCCTTTCTCAATGAGATGAGTCTTCAGGGTTTTATAAATATTTAACTGCTGTTCTGGTTGAAGCACCAACAACTGCTGTAACACTTTGCTGGGATTTGGACCCCTGATTTAAAAAAAGACAGTGTCAACGATCAAGCCAATACCTGGTGGCCAACGAATAGGTAAACTAGTACTCTAAACTCAACCAGAATGAGTTCTGCCTCGATTTAAAAAAAAAAAAAAAAAGGCAGAAAAGTCAAAGTCCATGCTGTTCAGAGAGCTAAGGGAAGCATATACCCACAATTTAAAGTAAGCCCTACATTTATAGAGAAGCAGTCTTTACAGAAGTGAACAGCTCTTGATCAGAGCTCACTTTAATGCCCAATTTTAGTGTCAATGGTAGGGAAAAATTCTCAGTTAAGAGGTGTGCAGCGTAGATGTGGTAAAAATGCACAAACACAAAACCCAAGAACAATGCTAGGCCAGATAGCGGGTGCAGATCTAAGTTCTACAAAAATTCTTAAAAGGGCCACCTGCGTTAGAGGTGGGGATAGATAACAAATCCTGAGTTTGGACAAGACACAAAAACTATCTTGTCTGGAAAAGAGCAAAATTCCTGGTGGGTGAGGATAAATCAAAAGAAGACATGAAAATATGCTTAAAATTTTTAGGTTCAAAGTAATTTCCAACAATGGAAATGTATTTTGTGGAAGAAATACCCCCTGAGGAACTAGGAATGTTCAAGAGACAGGACACAAAGATTCAGAGCCTTGCTCCTACCTGCGATCTACTGTAGGTGCCACAGACTTTGGACAAAGAAAAGTCTTAGGTAAACCCCAATATAAGAAACAAAAGTGGATCTGCTCTAGTTGAAAGGAGACCGAGGAGGAGGAGAGCCCTGCCCTGCTCACCCACCTTCCCAGTAGTCCTGGGAGGGAGGAAATGAACCCAGGTAGAACTGAAGTAACTAAAGGCAGTGACACGGTGCACTCGACAGCCAGTGCAGGGAACTCTCCTCAAGCAGCTCCCTTTCTGTCAGATCCTCCACCAGCTCTGCTCCAGCCCTCCTCTTGCCACCCTTCAGTGGTGCACTCTGAGTGAGAGAAAGTCTGGCCAAGGGCTCCTACCCTCACACCTTTCCCTGCAGTGACGCTATTATAATTGAGGGATTGCAGTTTCCTATCCCCTGGGCTCTAGAACTCAACTCATTTACACACTGGAGATCACCTTTGTGATCTTCTAAAGTGCTATTTTGTCATTTTCAGAATGAACCTAATCAGAAGTGAATCTATATGTATTGTTCGTTGTTAATTTCTGCAGTTGACTTGAATGGGATAAAGCAAGATGTAATACATAGAGAATGGTACAAAAACATTTACATGGGTAGTTAAATTTATGGCTCACAATAAGACTATTCGGTTCAAATGCAATTTCAGGAAGTAGAAAACCCAGCAACAAAGAAATGCCTGCTATATAGTGATCTCGCAACAAAAATCTTGGATTTAAAAAATTGTACAATATGTGGATTTAACCATCCCATGAATCACCTTCATGCACATGGCTCAATTCATTTGCCAAAAACCTGCAGCCAATTGGATGTCTCTCACAGCCACCATCTACTCAAGTCAGGACACGGCTGGCCTTACATTTCTTCAAAAGATTCAGTAAGTTTGTAACATAAACCCAGAATCGGGGCCCACAGAGAAAAAGAAGGCTATTCTAGCAAATTCAGCTAAATGCAAAATGATGTCAGCAGGTGCTCCCAGCTAGGTGCATCCTGGCACCGTATTTCTAAGAGACTAAATATTTGCTTTCAAATGGCAGACGACATGGCTCAGCAGGACTTCTCTCTACTGGGAGAACAGCATATCAAAAACAAAAAGTAGGAATTAGGGCCCTAAAAGTTGCCATCTTCTTAAAGAGTTCTAAGGATTTAACCACTAATTACTAATATTCAACTATATCAGTATAATATATCATATAAATCTATTAAATCCTCCAAATAAAAAGACAAAGATTGTCAACTGGTTTATAAAAACAAACAAAATCCATCTTTATGCTTGTCATATGCTTTCACTATAAGGATAAAAGAATGCTAAAAAAAAAATACAAGGATAGAGAAAGAAATGCTATGCAAACACTAACCAAAAGAAGACTGATGTAGTTATTCTAATATCCAAAACAGGTTTTAAGCAAATAGTATATAAAGATGGACATTATATAATGACATTAGGAGCGATTCAAGAGGGAGATATGACAGTCCTAAATATGTGTACACTTAATAAAACTGCAAAATACATAAAGCAAAAAGAATTAAAAATAGGAGTAGGCAAATTTACAATCATAGTGAGAGATTCTGGCAAAGCTCTCTCTTTGAACTGTAGTAGAACAAGTAGACAGGAAAAAAAAAACACAAAACAATCAGTACAGAAGATTTAGCTAAACTTCACTCAGCTGACATATACAACATGCCATCCAGAAACTGTAGAATGTACATTCGGTTCATATGCACATGGAACATGTAACTGAAAAGACAATATACTGGTACATAAAGCAAGTCTCAACAAATGTTAAATACTGAAATAATAAAGAGTATGTTTTCTGACCATAGTAGTATCAAGGTAAAAATCAATAGAAGGAGAATGAGAAAAATCTCCAGTTGTTTGGAAACTAATCAATACACTTCTAAATAATGCATGTGTCAAAGAGAATATACTAGAAATCAGAAAATATTTGTAACGAATAATGAAAATACAAATACAACATGTAGGATGAGAATAAAGAGTACTTAAGAGGAAATTTGTAGTCTTAGATGAATATATTAGACAAGAAGCCTGAAAATCAATAAGCTAAGCTTTATCTCAAGAAGCTCAAGAAAGAATAGCAAATTGACCCTAAAGATGGAGGAATGAAAGGTGAGAGAAGACATCAGTGAAATAGAAAACAAATATACAGCAGAGAAAGTTGACAAGGTCAGAATTTGATTCTTTGAAAAGATTAATGAAATTATAAATTCCTAAAAGACTGCTCAAGAAAAATAAGTGTTAATATAAAAATTCTCAGGCTGCTATGGACATATTTAAAATGTATATTTAGGGATCTATCTATCTATCTATCTATCTATCTATCTATCTATCTATCTATCTATCTATCTATCTATGAGTTTCAATCCACATAACACTATGAAGGAAATACATATTCTCTATGGCACTAGCATGGAAAATAAAGTTAACATGTGGTTGATGTGGTTAGCTTTCATATCCCAAACTGGCATTTTCGGGCAGATTCAAATCATTAAGGTTATAAAACAACCTTATAAACTTC